AAGACCATCACTTAAATCGCGCCCTTCTATTTTTGGTCACAACTTTTTTTCCCGGACTGTCATTTCTGGCAACACATCACTCATAAGCTATCGGTTTCTTAAGAATGAATAATCTATTTTCAATGGACTTAATATCATTCAATCACAGCTAATACTTCGGAATAAATGAATGGAAATTAAGTTACTATTACCAGTTTCCTCTTCCGTGTCCTCCGTCAATGTAAACAACATCTGCGCTTCTTGTTTTGATCTTGTTTTGAGTTGGACTTTAAAGGGATCCCATATATAAAGTTATTTACTAGCTACGTTGTTTTGATAATACGATACATGAATAATTTTAATAAGTTAATAATGTACCACAATATTAAATCTTTTAATAAATGTCAATTACTTATTCTTCATATTTTCATTGTTGTCTAATGCATAATTAACATTCTGATTCTAACTTTGATTTGGCAAATGTAAGACAAGCTTTTATCGTATCACTCTAGATAAAAATATACAGTCTGTATCGTTTTGTTTTGTTTTTCGTAAATTAATATGCTACATCCCTAACTTTAAAGAGACCTTGTATATAAAATATTTCATTACATCATATCTATAGTAAAAATAACAATACTTATTTTCATTATAGCTCCCAATGTAATTATATGTACAGTAGACATATGAATGTACAAAAAAGTGTACATTTATAGACATGGTCCTTAACAAATATGCAGACGACAAAGCAGACAGCGAAGACCTGACGTGAAATTCGGCATCGCTCTCGTGAAAATGTATCCGTATGTAATTTCAGGTAAATCATTGGTATATATTGCGGCTTTTATAAGGTAAATGCGTCTTATGTTAGAGTAACTGTTTTCTAAGCCAGCAAACTCCGCTAAAAATAATTCAATATGACCGCATATTGAATTGAGTTGAGTTGTTTTTCTGGCATTGGAAATTTCTTGTTCTATTATGATAATATTCCATGCCTTAAAGCATTATGCAAATATAGATTTCAACATATAGTTAAGAGCTGACCCGTCTTTCAAATGTAAATATTCTTATCATCTTTAGAATTCGGTCAAGGATAATAAATGTCTTACTTCAGATTTTGAGTCTCAAATGTGAATGAAATATTCAGTTATGTGTGTAATGTAAAAGAAAAATAGATGTTACTGCATTTGATGTATCTGCATTTCAGAAACTGATTTGGATTCAAGTAAAGTCAAAGGAAACGATTCAATCAAATTATTTAAAAGAAAATGCGATGTCGAAATCACGCGAGATATCGCTCTGAAAATCACCAGGAATGTACCAGAAAAATACTAATTTAATCAAACCGAAAATAAACTAACCGATTCATAAATTAAAAAAGGATAGTCGTAAAGTGATTCACTGAAAAGTTGCTTGCGCGAGCATTCAAGAGGAAGCCGACCCATACCGCCCGGCATTCGTCACTCTTTTACAGTATTTCTGCTCTTCAAAGAACATCGAAGGCTTATGTGCAGAATACTGGAAACTTGCTTTGCGGAAGGCAACACCGAAGACGCAATATTATATGCCGAGTTTCTAGTAATACTGTTTATGTATCAGTGCCATGAATGGGTGGCAGTTGGTGTCTTGTTCCATGCGTGCTTGTGAGTACCAAGGCATACTGTGCTGTATTGTGGTTGTTGATGCTAATGGTGTGAGTGGCTTGTAGTTCTCTGTATTCTGTGCTTTCCAGTAAGTACAATGTGCTTGTGGTGGTGTTTGTATTCTGCGAGTAGTATGGAAAGTATATTGTATCCAAACCTGTTTTTAAGCGGGTATACCATTTCACTTTCATGGCTTATGTTGCTATATCTGCGCCACACATAATGGTATTTACTATGATACATGTGCTGAACCAGATTTTATTAATGTGATCATAAAGATTATATCAAGGATATGCCATAAGGAATATACAAACACGGCATTCTAGGAATAGCTAGGTATTGTGCATGAATACATATCCTAGAACTTGCTTATTATTCAGAGAAAGAAAACTATAATTGTCAAATACTACTACGCACTGAAACTCTACACGACCAGTAGATGTAACAACGTTTAACTAGTGTTATGATAGACTTGTGCCTGGGTATCGCGCCAGATCGATGTCAGACAAATCTTTTCACAATATGTAATGACAGGCTTGTGCATGAATTATATCTTCACTTATCATCCAGGAAGGAAGGAAACTGCATGATTTGAATGTGTCAGACTAGACATGCAGACGCCTGACTAAGCTCTTAATGGACAACGAGATGTGTGTGTGTGTGCGTGTGTGTGTGTGTGTGTGTGTGTGTGTGTGTGTGTGTGTGTGTGTGTGTGTGTGTGTGTGTGTGTGTGTGTGTGTGTGTTTGTTTGTGGGTTCATGTGTTCGTGCTTGTGGACATATTTTTACTCGTACGTACGTCATGACATGAATATATTATTATTGTTATTATTTATTATTTATTATTATTATTATTATTATTATTATTATTATTATTATTATTATTATTAATATCATTATTATTATTATTATCATTCATAATTCAATGCTAGTTCCGATTGTATACGTTTGTAAATAAATACAATTTTGTGAATTATGCCAGTTTCAATTGTAATTTCTAAACGTAAACGTATGCATTCTTTTTTTTTCTTTTAGCATGCAACTAACATGCTTGAATATGCAACCGAGATATAGGGTATATGAGCTAGAAATTATGGACCAGAATTAGAGTTGAAATGAGATGGAGAATTTTGAAACTTTGATTTGAAGTTTGGATTTTGAAACCTTTAGATATTTGTGTGCTCGTTATCATTGCTATTATTATCATTATTAGTATTAATATTATTATTGTTGTTGTTGTTATAATTACTCATGTTATTAATATCATTATCATTATTTTTATTGTTTTATTATTATTATTATTATTATTATTATTAATATTATTAATATCATCATTATTTTTATTGTTTTATTATTATTATTATCATTATTATTGTTATTATCATCATCATCATTAAAATCGTCATTGTTATTATTATTATTATTATTATCATCATCATCATCATCATCGTCATTATCATTAATATCATTATCATCATCATTTTCATAATTATCATCATCACCGTAATTATTATTATCAGTATCGTTATCATAATGGTTATTATTATTGCTACTACTATTTCTGCTGCTACTACTATTGTTGTTGTTGTTATTATTATTATTATTATTACTACTACTATTACTGATATTATCGCTTTATTGTTATTATAAGTTTGATTGTAATTATTGTCATTATTATTATCATTATCACCATTATTGTTGTTATTGATATTATTATTATTGTTGTTGGTGTTATTATTATTATTATTGTTTTAATTATGATTAGTCTTATTATTATCATTAACGTTATTATTATTATTATTATTATTATTAATATTGTTGTTGTTGTTGTTGATATTAATATTATCGTTATTGTTTTCTATTGCTGTTAGTTATATTATTATTATTATTATTATTATTGCTTATTACTTTTGTTTTAGTTTTCCTGCATTATTGCAGTTGTTATTATTATTGCTATCATTTTATTGTAGTTATCACATCATCAGCATCAGCATTATCATTATCATTATCATCATCATCATCATCATTATCATCATTATCATCATCATCATCATCAGCAGCAGCAGCATCATTATCATCATCATCATCATCATTACATCGAATCCAAACTAAGAAAGAAAATCCGCGTGAAGGTGGTTCGAACGCATTGAATCATGGACTCGAAAATTGGACAAACACGAAAAAAAAAACTGTAGCTTATGTCTTTTAATAATCCTGTTATAACGTTTTTGCTAAATACGTTCATTGGTTTATGTTTTCTTTTTCTTTTCTTTTTCTTTTTTAATATCAATAGAAATTCGGTTTTATTTCTAAAGTTTCAAATTATCTTTGGAGTCACAGTTGGAGAGGAAAAGCGTAACGTGTTAAATATTATAGTAGTCGTGTTATTGATGATGGGTGATAGTCATGGTGATTAAAGTGTTGATAGTAGTAATGATAACAGTAATGATAATATTAATCATGATAGTAATGATGATGATGATAACAACCGTAATAATAATGATGATGATGATGACGATAATAATAATAAAAATAATGATAATGATAATAATAACAATAAGATCATAAGTATGTTCCTTCATTTGGCTTGAAGGTTGAAGGTTTATCACAAAAATTGATGGCGGTTGCGTTAAGTGGGGGATATATCTTGCAGTGTTAATATTTATTAATGAGTTCAAGTGTATAATAAGATTGAGTCATTATGAATGCACGTGGAATGGAAATGTATGTGTTAGGGGTGTTAAGATATTACCTTTTATATGAACAATGTCTGCTAGTCGAGTCCTTAAGAAAGTTTTTATTTTATAGATCAATAAACTACAGAAGAAAGGGAGGTATTCTATACGAAATATTCCAGGTTGGATATTTCTGTGAACGATTTTGAACCTGGATTCACGAATTGTCGTAAATTGGAGAGAACCTATTTAAATCGGGGGTTATGCATTCAAGTACTTAGGCAGGTATCAACTATTTTACTTATCCAACCACCGCTTGCATAAGAGAACACCAACATACTCATATCTCAAGCTTCATTATCCCACTCCCAAGTCCTAGCAAGCTCTCTCCACCCATCTTATAGACCAACCTACAGCTTTAACCCCCATCCCCCCACCCCCACCCCCCACATACTTCATTTCCTCCCACACTCTTCAGCTCTTTACCTAAAACCTCTTCTAGCTTAGACCCTCTCCGTCGTTTCCAGCCTGGTAGCCGGGTGTAGCAACAACTGGGCACGGCCTGGGGTATTCAGCGTGGTGGTGGTGGTGGAGGTGGTAGTGTGGTTGGCTTAGCGTGTGGTTAGAGACAGTACCTTGCAGCGTGGAGGTTTCACGCCCACAACCCATGAGTGGACGCCCATTCCTCACTTGCCTTTGCTACCATGGCCACTTGTCGACGGAAGGTTGAGGTGAGTAGCGCTTCTACACACGTGACGCTGCCCCGCCTGTAGTGTTTTACGGTGTCTTATGTTATAGTGTTGTTTACGTTATCTTTCCAGCTGTTGGTTTGGTATGGTTGTTTGTGCTAATGTGATTCTTTGCGTTTTTTTTTCTTTTATATTGGAACATTAGTAATTGTCGTAATGATGGTGGTAATGAAATATAATGATAGTAAAGAAGTTAGTAATAATGAGTATTGTATCTTTTATTATTACCGTTGCTATTATTATTATTATTATTATTATTATTATTATTATTATTATTACTATTATTATTATTATTACTATTATTATTATTGTTATAATTATTATTATTATTATTGTTGTTGTTTGCTGTCGTTGCTTTTATTATTATCACTTTTACTGTTGTTATTATTTTTGATATGATAATTATATTACTAATAATAATAACAATGATAATATAAGTATTTTATTTTTAGTTATTTGTTATTATCATTATAATTATAATTATCATCATGATTATGGCAGTACTACTATTGTTGTTACCATTATTACCATTGCAAGTAGTATTGGTACTAGTAGTGATGGTGCTGATGAAGATAGTGCTAATGTTAATACCAGTAACTGTCATTCATCATTTCTGTCACTATGACTGTTGTTGTTATCAAATGTCATCCATTTATTATTACTATTATTACTGTCATTCTTATCATTATTTTTTTTTTACTGTCGTTACTATTATCGTTGTTATTATTGTTACTGATTCGAAGTAAAATTTGCTTTCCAGAACGTGAGCAATTGCACAGAGAATAAAACAGAAAACACAAACTGCATATTATTTGATTTAAAAAATTGTATTTCTGGAACTATAATTGTGAACAAACTATATATTCTTTGCATTTTTTTTCATTTCATCAACAGACCTAACAAAATGTCAGCACAGAAGTATCAGCCTGACACAGTGTTTTGGTTCAAAGTTTTACATAATGATAAGACAGATTTCCCCCCCCCCCCTCAATTTTTCTTCACCCCCCCTCCCCCCCCCGTACTTGATGCCATCTTGTCTGTGTTACTCTTCATATCAAATCCCAGTCCTTTGTCAAAGTAAAACCGCTTTAGACCGGATTTCTGTTCAAAGTTTTACGTAATTAGAAAGCAGGTTTTGTTCCTCCTCCGATTCTCTATCACACCCCCTTTACTCTGATGTTATTATCCTGCGTATGTTATTCCTCATTTTAGCTCTCCTGGGTCACAGGGGTTTGAATGCATAAAGCCAGACAGACAGACAGACAGACAGCTTCATTTATAAGATTATTATTCTTCATGTTGTTTTGTTATTGCTGTTATTGTTATTATTATTATTATTATTATTATTATTATTAATTATTATTATATTATTATTGTTAATCCATTTTAGTGTTATTTTATTATTATCATTTCATTATCATTTGTTATTATTTTCTTACTGTTTTACAGTACTTTTGCCTTGATCACACTCCCACAAAATTTACCTCCCCCCCCCCACACACACATCATACGCAAGCAAAGAAACAAAAGACATAGAAATACACATGGAAGTCAGTTATAAAAATCCGTAATGCAGTGGCGTCCATGAGGCGGAAAATCGACAGTGTTTAAATGAAAATACTCATGGCAAAAGGAGATTAATTAACAGTGAAGAGGCCAATGTGGATTTACTCTTTTTCCTTTGCATTTTGTTAATAAATGAATGAATAAGTGGTATGGTTATCATAATGGTGATGATGATATGATGATAATGATGAGATGATAGTAACATGTTAAAAATAGTGCTATTAGTAATGGATTATAGGGATAATAATATTAATGATAATGATTGTTATAATGGTAATGGGGATGAGAATAGTAATGATAATAAAGACAAACATAATAGAAAGATGATAACCATAATAGTGGTAACATAGTAATACTAGTGCTACTACTACCATTACCATTACAATTACTACAACTACTAAAATAATAACGATGGTAATAACAGTAACAATAACAAAAAAAAACACACGACGACGACACGACAACGAGTATCCCTTATGTAGATTTGCATATTGCAGGTGCTGGTGGTTTTGTTGTTGACGTTAGTGCCTCGTCCCGGGCCCCTGGAACCGCGTCCTCCTTGTATACGTGATAAAGCGGCTCTCGTCAGGAAGTTGGTGAACAAGGTAAGGCCAGTTTAACGTGGGAGGGTGTTGATTTTGTGTGTGTGACTCTTTTGGTTTTACATTGATTTTTGGTGGTCGTTGTGTGTGTGTGTGTGTGTGTGTGCGCGCGCGCGTGTGTGTATGTTATGTATGCTTTGGTTTGTGTAGGACGCATTAGGCGATAAATTCTACGGCGAAAGACGCCACACTTGACTTGTGATATGAAACGGGCTTTAGCACTTGACCGTTAGTTCTCTTTCCTATTTTCTTGCGACTCCAGTCTTGCATCTCAATCCTTGACTGCGTTTTACGATCTAGAGGACAGTGATAACTATGGATAATACCTGTATTTAAAAGGTACTTTGAGGATTGTGAAAAAATAACGTTTTATTTTAATAAATGTAAACAAAATGAAATATTTCTTGCTGAAATGATATTGTGTCGCATAACACAGGATATCTACCAAGAAAAATAAATCTGGCCAACTTAAAAAAAATATCGTTTCCAGCTGAGAACCCAGCAAATATCTATTGATTAATTCACCATAATCATATTTCGAGGACTAGACGACCCCAGAACAGAGAAAGGAAGCGTCACTTTCATCAAACCAACATGCATTCCAAAGCTCAGAGATAAATCGTGGTCCGTTTTCCAGCGATGGATGCCTGTGCTGGAGAAGTACGGGGTGACGCTGCCCCTGGAGTGCCCCTTACATAACGCCAGGGACGTGTTCGCGCGGCAGGAGGAAGCCAAAGTCCACGTGCCGCCCCAGTGGACCTGTGGGTTTTGCGGAAAGGCCTTCTACCACGAGGCGCACCTGGACAGACACCTCGACAACCGCCACGAGGAACACCTCAATAATGTGGGTGTAAAAGATGTTTTCTTCTTATTCTCTTCATTTTCTTTTTCGCTTTTTCTTCTCTCTTCTGTTTTTTCGTCTTCTCTTTCTTCATTTATATACCCTTCTTCTCCTTCTACATTCTTCTTCTTTTTCGTTTTACTCTCACCATGACTTAGTTTGCGTTATGCATTACAATATTTCTTGACATTAACCACCTACGTTAACATATCAAAATACTTCTGCCTCTTTAGGGCGAGGATGCGGTGTGCCTAGCGGACTTCTGTGACGTCATGCGGTGCGAGGTGTTGCTGGAGCGGCTCAGGGACTTCGAGGACACGCCCCCCGCTGCCACGGCGCTTGACCTGTGGCACCAGCCGCTCCTGCTGTCGTCGCCGTCGCTCCACCAGGGCCAGACGCATTCAGGTGCGCCGCCTGCCACGCGACCTGCGGGGCACATGCAAATACATGACCATTCTATTATTGTTATTATTGTTATTATTATTGTTTATAATTATTATTATTACTATTATTATTGTTGTTAATTACTGTTAGATTGTTGTAATTTGGATTCGAGGTGGTGATTGAATAACTTTTTCTTGCCTCATAGCTCTGAACGACAGTGTTTTAGACGTGCCGCTCCCCTTTCCCCCACAGACCAGGCGGTGGAGCGAGCCCTCCCACGCAGCCTGATGAGGTCTTCCCACGCCTCCCACCCGTGGTACCAGTGGACGCGGCAGCCACGCCTCCGGGACCCTCCCCACCCGCCTCCGCCCTCCTCCACGACGCCTCGCCCCGCCCCCGATCTGTCCCGCGATCGCCCCGACGACGGCAGGAGGTCCGTGGACGACCCTGTGGTGGTGGCCGGATGCGATGCGGACGACGCCGACTGCGCCAACCCGCCGGAGGAGACGTACAGTGAGTTCGGACTTTCTGGGGGTTTGTGGCTGGCCTTCCTGCGCAGGGCATTGCTGTGTCGTGTTTTTTTCCTTAACTTTGTGATCATGTACTAACATACTGACTATAGATTAACAATGAGTGTGCATGGTGAATATTTAACCCAGCAAGTAAGGAGTTTCCGAACTGGGTTATCCTTATTGAGAGAGCTGTGTCTCTGGTGCGTGGTGCACAGACGTGACGGATGTATAACGCCCACAGATGACAGCGGACAGGTGGGTGGGGGCCCGCGGGAGCTGCCTCTCCACCCGTTACACTCGTGGCGTGACACGTGTAACGAGGAACACCTGGCTGAGCTCAGGGTCAAGTGCCAGGTGGGTCGACGCTGCCTCGCTGGGCTCTTTGGCCCTTTCGTGTGTCTCCCTTTTAGTAGTTTTTGGTGTTGCTCTCTTACTCTCTTACTTAGGATCTTTTTGCTCTCTCTCTCTCTCTCTCTCTCTCTCTCTCTCTCTCTCTCTCTCTCTCTCTCTCTCTCTCTCTCTCTCTCTCTCTCTCTCTCTCTCTCTCTCTCTCTCTCTCTCTCTTTCTCTCTCTCTCTCTCTCTCTCTTTCTCTCTCTCTCTCTCTCTGTCTCTCTCTCTCTCTCTCTCTCTCTCTCTCTCTCTCTCTCTCTCTCTCTCTCTCTCTCTCTCTCTCTCTCTCTCTCTCTCTCTCTCTCTCTCTCGAATCGCCATGGCTGTTAGACTAGCTTTTAATTAACCAAGTTTCGTCACCGTGAATGTACAGTTTCTAGAGATAACCTCGTCTTAAACTCCACTAATGCTGCTTCGTTTTACAGCAATTGATCCAGCAGTGCATCGGGGGCCTACTGCTCAACCTAACACTGGAGCAATTCAAGGAGGTTGAGGGTGAGTTGGAACAACCAAACAGACTTTATTTGCTATATTTTCTCGTTCTTGGTAGAGTTCTGTTTCCTTTAACTCTCATCCTCTTTTCCGTCATCAGCTGCCCTGAGCCGTGCGGTGTGTTGGTACCTAACGTGTGAGAGGTACTGGGAGGCCGGTACCATGGAGCCTCCAGAGTTCCCGTGGGGCCTCGTCACTGGTTTGGTTCTTCTGCTTACTCTCGGGGTGTCCCTCGCTTACTACATCGTCTGGGTCCTGTGCGAGTGAGTAGGAGCTGTTCATTCCTCGCCAGCTGTGTGTTTGTTCTATCGTTATACCGTTGTTGAATATCTCGTGTCATAACAAGATTTTTTGACGTTATGTGCATAGCTGAAAGACCCTTCATAACTGCTCGTGTTTCCCCACCACATGTTGTACTTCTTTCTGTTTCATTTTGTTCGCAGAATTTTAGCAAACACGTTTCTTTTCTCTTTTTATTATCTCCTTCTGTAGAGACACATGAAGTGTAGCGTGCCTCCCATCCCCAGGTCGCAGGAGGGCGCCGCGGCGTCGCCCACCCCCCTGCCGGAGGAGCGCCCCGGCCCGCCGCTCCGGCCCTCGAAGGCGCGCCACTCCGCCGCCACGGAGTCCGAGAGCGAGTGCCGGGACTCCGGCTTCAACGAGGGCCCTCTCTACCCCGACGTCAGCGACGCCAGCCACGCCTACAGCGACTATGACGGCCAGTCCTACCGCTCACGACACTACTCGGAGGACTCGAGGCTCTCCTACGCGCCCGACGACCACGCCCACGCCCACGGGCACCCGTCGTCCAAGTACTACATCACGGAGGAGCGCATGTTCAACTACGCCACCACCTTCACGCCCAACTACGAGCAGCGGCGACTCAGAAGGAATCGCTACAACTATCTCGACGACTACGACGACTACCAGGACCTGGGCGAGCACGACAAATACTACGACACCTCGAGTTTAAGTCAGGAGCAGAGCGACAGTTTCATTTACGTCTCATACCCACCTGAAGTTAAGAAAAGATTCACGGAGAACAGGTGATGAAGAGATGAGGTGTTTTATCGTTGATGAACACAATAAAAGAGAAAAACAAAAACAAAAAAAGAACAAAAGACAATTATATGGGGAGGGGGGTTGATAAACATTTAGGCTTGTATCTTCCATGAAGTTTATATAGAGTGATATATCCGTTAGTTGGTCGGTGTCAAACTCGGCAAAGAGTGCGGCGAGCAGATGATCTGCGATGCGCCGGAGGAATAAAGCCGTAGAGATACTGTCTCAAGTACTGCCGCAGGACCGCCGTGAGGTATGAGGTGTCGAAGACGTTTATGAGTCACCTCGCCGGTTTCTAGCCATAGAGACTCTGGAGCTTGTGGCTGTACAGTACATTCCCATGTCTTTCTTGGTTCACAGTTATTACAAGCACGCTGTGTTTGACGAACTCCTAATGGCAGGAACAAGGGCAAGCGTTAGTGAGAATTCTGAGTTTGTGATGAGGAGATAAAAAACGAAATTGAAAGACAAAATACTATAAAGTCTGTAACGATATTGTAGATGAGATAGATAACGAGTGTTCCAAACAGACAATAAGACAGGAAGCGACCGTGAGCATACATGAGCATACATATATGTGTATTGACCCCTTTGTGGATATATATATGTATACATAATGAGTCTCACCAATTTCCCTTTTTTGTAAAATCTAGTTTGTTCAAGTAGTGATTTTGTGAGTGAGGGATAACGCGGTAGAAGTACAGGAAAATATATTATGATGGACCAAATATAACTGTTTCATGTTAGACGATGAAAATAAGCATTGCTTACTAAGGCCTCTAGGGGCTAGGTGCTCCCCCTTCCCTGACCAAGACTCGGTAGGACTCTTAGACATTCCTTGAGCTGTAGGGTCTCGTAGCGCCCGTGGATGCAGCAGTCCCAGGGGCGGATCGTGCAGCCACTGCAACGCGCAGTAAGAGAGCTTTTGTCCCAACAGTGCTGTCTTCAGATAGTCTTGCCCGTAGCCTGAGACGTAGCATTGTGGTGATTACGAGCCCTCCCCCTCCCCCTCCCCCTCTCTCCTCTGCCTCTCCAGCCTCCCCTGCAGAGGGCTCGGAGAGGCGCTTCACTGGGGGCGCCCTTCTGGTCGCGGGCGAGGAGGTGTGCTTAGATCATATTTTTATATTTGGAAAGTACTCCCACTGCATAGACTGTTTTGTTGTCCGAGTACAAAGTATAGAGAACTCGTGTTTATGATTGTTTATGATGTTTATAAGCTGGTCGGTGGAGTGGACGGTAAGGAAAGACACATGAATCTCGGTAAGATATTGAGGGAGCTGGTCACGTGATATGAATAGCAGGACTAGCTTCAACCTCGTGTGTTAAGGGACATGCGTCGCCGTTTGTTCCGGGAGATTAGAGGGAAAAAAAACTGCCTCATACACATTGCAGTGAAGAAAAATAATTTCTTCGTAGCCTAGTATTTTTTCACGTTGTTTATAGACGTATATACATATATATATAAATATATTTTACAAGTGGGCCTACTTTAAGAACCTGCTGGTTCAACCTCGTTGTGACACCGGCGTGATCGTCTCCTGGTAGAAGTTTGTTGCTCATTTCAACCGAGGCCAAAGAACCGTGAGTTCGCATGCTGGTTCCTTTCCCGCGGACGCCGTTAGTTCGGAATGTTGTTGCCTGACGTCTCGCCTTTGGTTCGAACACCACAGTCGGTTTGCGGTTCACTTGTTCGAGACACTGATTCGAATGTGGTTTTCTTGTCGCCAGATGGATCACGAGATGTCACGTAGGTGGGGGACGAAGTGATTTGCATAGGGCTATTTTCATAACCTGTTGAAGAAGAAGAAGAAGAAGAAAAAAACAATGTTGTTCTTACAATCTACTGTTTTTTCACATTTAATGTTTCGCCCGTTAGTTGCGGGTTCTTACTTTTTCTGCGGTCCGTCCTCCTTCCCTGTAGGCCCAGGATCTGCCCGTCTTCTAGACTTTGTGTACATAGATTGAGAGTAGGACGGCAAGATCTGTAGTCACATTCAGTAGAGTTAACAGAAACCAAAGGCTTTTGGGGTACCGTGCTTGTAAACACTTTGTAGCTTCGCTTGTCTTCCGTCGTGTCAGAGGGACTGTCAGAATAGAAGAATCAGTTTTTTTATTTATCTATTTAGAACTCTTTGATATGAAGGAGTTCGAAAGGAAAGATACAACCCGTAACTAAAGTCCTTTATATCTTACATTAATTGGATGTATGCATCAAGTTCTGATATCCCTGAATTATGGTCATATTTATGGTCATCCACCTTTGCATTTATGAAAGACTAACGAAAACTAAACATTTCTATCCGCCGAAAACACGATTGCAAAGAAATGTAAGGTAGACAGACGCACCTCCTGTCTTGAGTGACTTCCGTCTGACACGCCGGCGGACAAGCGAGAGAGAACATTCGCGCAGTAGCTGTGTCGCCGCCGAAGATACTGTGTAGTTGCAGGATAATTACTTTTAGATTTTGGGCGGCATTTTCACATGGTAGCTATCTAACCCAAAAAAATAAGATCAATACGATAAATCATGGACGTCGAAATTTCATATGCATCCATTCCAGAAATTTTCGAAGTACTTTTTTTCATTATTATTCTTTCTCTTTAAACAAAAATTACCGATCGCGTTGCGGAGTGAATACTCGTACGAAACCCAGAATAAGACAAACAAATGATCTCAGCAATAAGTAAGTTATGGTTGTATGATGGCTGTGAAAAGAAGGACTTTTGGGAACAGTTAAGTCGACAAAGGTGCGACGAGTAGGACTGTGTGGTGTTTACGTAGGACAGTGAGTAGTAGAAGACAGTAATATCAACACTTATTATCTGACTAAAGATAACTACAATTGCTTCAGTTTGTGGTTTAGTTCCAGGAGAGATTAGTGTATGTATAAGGATATTTCTTATAAAGTACGTGAGATTAAGGAAAGGCTGTTACGCGCACATGATGAGGATGTTGTTTTGAAGTACATCACATGCCAAAGAAAGGTTATGCTAAGGTATGTCATTAGATTTGAAATAGAAGTTAGAGGGAATTGGTATCTGTGAAACTGGAATCATACTGGTGACGTGCAGAGTTCTTTTACGACACAAGATAAGAAAGTTGCAATTGAGGGTACGTGGCATGGTTTTGAAAATTGGTGTGAAATTGTATAAATGCGAATGGCAAGAGAGAGCAATGGCAAGTTGAAAGTAGGAAGACTATTTCTATCTTCAGGGCCTTTATTTCGAACACTTCACTACCCTCTGTTCCCGTAAATCCTCTCCCTACCACGTTTAACTCCTTTAAAGAAACAGATGTAAGGGTTATGTGTGTGGAAAAAAATAAAAAAAAAACTTCCTCGTGATGAACTATGTATATAATGATAAGCTTGTGACTGCCACCTGGCAACTGGTCATCATCGGTTGTCGGATCTCATATTGTTTTCAAAGTCGATGTCATTTTCTCCTCTTTTTATCGATAACCCTTTTTTAAGTATATGTTTATAGCACAAAAGTGGAGTGCACGCTACTGCCTTTTTGTACATACACAGACAAGCACCTACACATAAGCTGTCACACAAACATAACAATGTCATTCTTCCTCAAGACACTCTTTTCCTGACCTTACATTGCGCACATATTTATTGCCACGTTTTGGACAATATATCATCTCTGCAATTGCTAGATTTGACACAGGTTTGTGATCATCATCATCATAATTATGGACGTTGTATTGGTATATTATATATTTTTTGATGGTTTGAAGGTATGGCTATAATTGATATTATTGTTACTATGTATGTATGTTTTTTTTTTTCACAGTGTTCCAAAAATAAGGCACAATGGAGAAATCTCTGTGCTTTTTGAAGACTAGGGAATCCGTTGTGAAATTTCTTATATATGATAACATCGAAATCTCACTTGAGAATGGTGTTCATCACTGACATTAAATGGTATCTATCCTTTCATTGGATTAATAAAACGCACAATTAATTAGATACTTTGAGAGATTTTATTGCGGGCACGAAAAGGGGGGGTTAGAATAAATGTACCTGTGTAATATTTACTCATAGATTTAAGTTTCATTTACCCTTTTTTAGTCTTTTTTTATTTATTTATATATAATCATATATATTTTTATTCATTTTTTAAACTCGTATTTAAGTATCATTTTTCCCGTTTTTTCTTTCTTTTTCTTTTTATTGGATTTTTTTTCCATGTGCCTCCGGGGCCGAATTTTAGCAAGCACAACAGAGCTCTTGCGATGAAGTGGACGTCTGGCGAATGAAGAATGCATGTTGAAGTTATTACATACACTACAAACATGTCATGACGTAGTGGCTTTCATATCCGCGTGAGAAACGCTGGAGCCGGTCTTATTTTCTTTAGTTTTGATTCTTAATGTAGCTGGAGAAAAATGAGGAAAAGTAAAGATGAGGTTGGAAAGAAGAAGAAAACGAAAATATATAAATGTTTTTTTTTTTCTTCTTCTTTTCATCCTTTTTTTTTCCTTTCTGGCTTGTCATCGCGGCCATGTTGATTTTTCCCGTAAATCGCGCAATATTATGGTATTCACTTCATACCATTTTTGGACCTTTTTTTGAGCGCAATGTGAGTTATCTATTCTTGTTTGTTTACGATTAAAGACAAAACGAAAACGGTCGTTCGCGAATAAATATGTTTGGGAGTATGTAAATAGCAGAAATACCCGCGCACTGAGATCATTGTCTTTGTGATGTTTCTGTGCTTTAAATCTTATCAATTTATTATTTTTATACGATTATACAAAGTGTGACCTAATCGTCATTGGTGTAAATGTGTGTTTTTGATGTGGTGAACTCACTAATAGATATAATGATATAAATATTTTGCTCCGTGTGTCTCAGACATATTGGATATAATACGTAGCTTATTTTGCCGCGGACTTGAGAAAATATGCTTTCGTTGTGACTATTTTCTCCCTTTACTGACAACCAATAAACATTCTGAGAAAAAAATAATAATAATAAAGCCAAATATTTGGTTTCATGTCAACCATCATGATCAGGTAACAATCAAAATATTTGCCGAGATATCGCTACCTCACAAAAATTACGTGAATATAAAGATTCGTAATGTCGAGAGAAATAATTGAAAAAAAAAAACATTGCTGGTTTGCGTAAATTTCATTCGTATATTTTGGTGTTGCTTACAGCTGTAGATTATGAAAATATGTCAAAATCCACATACTGTGTGTTCGTATGTGTGTATGTATGTATGTGTGTGTGTGTGTGTGTGTAAGAGAGAGAGAGAGCGTGAATAAATGCTTACTTGTGGACACATGCCAAGAAACACAAATTATGTTTGTTTTTTTCTCGATATATTGTGAGAATTGTCTTTTATATATGTAATTTTCGGGGCTCAAACGCACAAACCCCTCAATGACGCGGGGGCTTTACAAAAAATCAATGACCGTTGAAAATTTAATTACTCGATGATATTAAACTGAAATACTGTGTAAAATTGATAATATGCATATTTGATGTTTGCGTAATAGTGGGCATCAAGATAATGACAGATCGAACAGAGCTAAATGTAATATTAAGAACAATAAGGATCATGACTGTAAAATTCAGCAATCTAGATTTCTAAAATATAATTAAACAAGTCAGTGTGTTAGAACAAATCAACATACATACATATCCGTATAAATTTTGAGGCCCATACATAGAATCTCTGTTATAAAAAAAAAGAAAAGAAAAAAAAACTTTTTGGTGGTAGTGATTTACATACGGTAAAGTGTAACAAGAAAATTGTTATCCACATTACATAAAATGTTACATATTGTCACTATACGACCTGTCTTTAATATATGTAGTCTGTTTATCAGGTATAATCAAATGAGACATAGAATACTTGTCTTCTGTACTCTTTCCCCATATATTACTAAGTAATTGATTAATTAATTCCGGGTGTAAATGAGACCGGTCGGTTAGTAACCAAATTTGCATAAATAAGGAAGTTACAGTAACTGAGTTTACATTTAATGCATCTGGGCCCGGGCAGTGTATAATCATGTGTTATTTAATAGAGCGTATATCCATTAATTTCTTAACTGAAACAGAAAAACGAACGTTGTGTGAAGAGGAAGACTTGTCCCGAAACCAGAATAAAAATCGCAAGTAATGTTCATATCAACATGTGTGTATTAATGATCATTGATAACGGAAAAACTCACCGAATGGAAATCTTTATCCATCTATCTCTCTATGTATCTATTTCGCTCTCTCTCTCTCTCTCTCTCTCTCTCTCTCTCTCTCTCTCTCTCTCTCTCTCTCAATCTCTCTCTCTCTCTCTCTCTCTTTCTTGCTCTCTCTATCTATCTATTTCGCTCTCTCTCTATCTAGCTATCTATATTTCTGTTTCTTTTCCTTAGTGTGTAAATTGCATACAAATCAGGCATATAAAATCCAACAAAATCGTTCATTTATAAACTAAATACCACGAAACCTACAAAGAGGTGAATTAGTTTTTAAAAGATTATTGTCAGTTTTTTTTTTCTTTTACATCTTTACCGTGTATTATAATGCTAATTGACATTTTTTTTTAAAGGGGATAAATATAAATAAAAGAATTCAACGCTGAG